CACGTACATGGGGACACCTGACTCTGCCTCACCTGTTTGGTATTTTGAGGCACAACCCTTAAGTTGAATTTCTCTAATAGGGTATATATAACATTGTTTCATAAAACTAATTCAGAAAAAGAAATAATCGAAAGAGGAAGATCATAAACATTATATGTGGGTGATAGGCAGAAAATGCCTCTACTAGGAAAAAAAGCACAAGGCTAACAAAAGAGACTTGTTCCTAAAGAGACTGAAAGGATTACTTTCCCCAAGAGTAGAGCATCCTAGATGTTTGTCTTCCTTAATATTGAATAAAGCCCTTCGTAATGCCACTGGACTGGGGGCACAGCAGATGTTACATGTTTTCTCCTTCATTTATATTTTCCAGTGGTAAAGAAAATTGAGGCATATAGGGATCTGGCTGTAGGGGAGAATTATTTTCAATTTGAAAAGCATTCTCAGTTTGAGTCAAAAAGAAAATGTGGATTATAGACAAATGGTATTCTTCTGCTCCAAAATTCGTTTAAAGATTACTGACTAAAGTATTTCTCTTTTTTGATTTTTTTAATCTTAAAGACTTCTATTTACATAAGTCATACCAAAAATGTAGTATCCTTTTCAAAAATGAAAGTATTACTAATAATGCTAATACCTTGTCACTATGTCCCCATCTGGGTCCCTTCAATTCCTCCTCATTCTCCACCAACCCCTACCTAGCTAGGGCAACCGTTGTTCATTTTTCTGGAATATATTTGATTTAAATCTTTCCTTCTTTTTGTTTACATTGTTTATTTTTATTAATTCGAGTTAGCCTATTTTCTTTTATTTTTTGTTTATTTTTTATTGTGTTATATTAACCGTCATACAATACATCATTGGTTTTTGATGCAGTGTTCCAAGATTCATCATTTACATATAATATCCAGTGCTCCATGCAGTACGTGCCCTCACTTTTTTTAAAAGATAAAAAAGGGGGGACTGGGTGGCTCAGTGGGTTAAAGCCTCTGCCTTTGGCTCAGGTCATGGTCTCAGGGTCCTGGGATCGAGCCCCACATCGGGCTCTCTGCTCAGTGGGGAGCCTGCTTCCTCCTCTCTCTCTGCTTGCCTCTCTGCCTACTTGTGATCTCTGTCTGTCAAATAAATAAATAAAATCTTTAAAAAGATTTAAAAAAAAGTCCTATGAAGATGAGAAAACAATATCATTTTACTACAATGAACACTTTCTTATGTTTTCTCATTAACTGTGGGCTCCCAAGTTGTCCATCATGTCACGTTTAACATTTTCGGTGATTCTGAATTCATCCCTCTTCTCCGAAGGGGGAGCACATTGTTGAGGAGTGCTCACAACACAACTGTGTTTACAAAGGAAGAAGAGAGGTTCCTTTACAGATCACCCTGGGGCCTCCCATCAGGCCTCTGGGTCCCCGGTCCCTCTTCAGGCCCCACCCTTGTCCTTTGCTTCTGCAGATTCCAAGGCAAGACCCAGCCAACCGCTCTCTGAGTCCTGCTCAACATCACAATTCTTACATGTGCCTGACTACAGCCCTGGGTGAATTCACCGGCGCACTGTGGGCCCGGGCACTGACACAGTACACAGAGATAAGCAGAATCCGTGAAATAAAAAGTGAGGACTAGTCCCGTGTGTCAGGAGAGAAAGGAGCTACCCCTTTAAGAGTGCTTCCATAGCATCTTTTCTGGCTCTGCCCTCCTACCCTGCATGTCCACACAGGACCTCCAGTTCGCTAGCTCCCACCCACCATCGCCCCGGAACGCAGGTGCCCAGAATGAAAAGGCTGTTTTTAAAGTTGTGTAGGAAGAAAAGCCAAAGAGACTCAGGTATTAAGAAATAGAAACAAATTTTGAGACAAGAGTTGACCCGAATTAGTGTCCCGGTCAGGCAACATGAAAGCAGAGACAGGACTGAGGAACTGACCCGTGGCAGACTGAGACGTAAGAGCACCCTTGAAAAACTGGTCCAGTGCCACAGAGAAGGATCATCACGAAACTTAGCCGTGTGCTAGTCAGTAATTAAGCTTTAATATTTGGATCACACACCCACCATGCAATCTCATTATAAACCAGATACCCATGCACATATGTTTCCTTACAAGGAAAGCTGAGCCGTGTGATTCCAAGAATTCTTACTGAAAGTGCCTGTAGGTTTACATGTGTGTATATATGTGTGCATGTGTGTGTGTATCGATGCGTATGAGTCTATAAGCATATTCAGTCTTTTTGGCTTGGTTGATGTCATTCATTCTTAAAAGTGGGTATGTTCTCAGTAGGCTGACTTCCAAGTTTCTGAGACTATCAGTGAAGATCCAGGTTTCAGACTGGGGGAAGCTCACAAACACAGTAAAGACCACCTGGCCTTCCCACTGTTGTCTCTGCTTTGAGGTATTTTATGGCTTCCAACGTGAATAACGACAACCCCACCCAGAGGCCGGGACCCATTCAAACAAACGAACAGGGAGAAGTGACATCTTACAGGCTCCCGTTTTGCACATCTGCCACCCAAATCAGAGAGAGAGTGGTTGTAATTTAAGGTCTCTGGGACACTTTAAGAACAAGGCCCCTCTGTTCTTAAAGAACATGTGATCAAGTTAATAAAAATAATAGCAACCAAGAGCTGAGATCTCATATGAAGTGAAAAATCCATAGACAGGCATTGGTTGGCAAACACGCAACCTTTGAACACTCCAATGAGGTGGTCAATACCATCCCTATTTTATAAATTAAAATATGAGGCATAGAACATGAAGGATCATGTCCACAGTTTACAGCAAGCAAGAAATAAGAGAGCCAGTGTTGAGGCCAGATGTGTTCCAAAACTAGTGTTCCTCAGAACTGCGGTGGGGTCTAGCTCTGGAAGTGACCTGGTGGGCAGGGGGCATCCCCCTCCAATGTGGGGTCCACTCAGACCGCACCTAGTGACAGCACCTGGTGTCACCACTTGGTGACAGCAACTGTGATTCATGATTTAAATCATGAAGTTGACTTCACGAACTCTACCTTTTCAATTTCCCCAAATCACCACCTGAAGCACATTCCCATATCAAAATTAAGCCCAAATTAAACTGAAGCCTGCCTGACTCCCTATTCCCTAAATGCTGTCTGGATTATTACTAATCCCTGCCCCCTTCCTCTTTCATTAACTAATTGGCTTCCTCAGTCCTGCCTCTTTATAAAATGAGTTGTAGATGATTGTGCCACTCAGGCAATGGCCTTGAGCCATGGAACATCAACTTCGGCAGTCATGGAAGTTTTACAAGTCTCCTTTTATGGTCATCCTCTTCCTTTGTACGCCAAGCCTACACCTCCCTGTGCCCTTACTTTACTCTAGTTTATCTAAATAGAAACAGGAGCCTCGCTCAATCCATAACTCATCCTCAGTTTCATGCCATCATCTCCTCACGTTTCCTTCTGATTCAGTAGTTCCTGGCAATAAAATCTCCTTTCATATATAGATATAGTAAAGTGACTCTAAAGAAACAAGATGCAAAGAACAGGGACCAGAGTGGCTTTTTCAAACCTTGGGAGACCACACTGAGCTCCAACATTTATGTTCTCTCTGGCAGAGATAGAAACGTGGACAGCAATGCTTATGTTGATAAAGTTGACCCTACAACTTTATGCAACCTCAATTTTAAATCCTAGACATTATCCCCATGATTTCCAATCTCAGGGTGAAGACATAACTTATAAAGGCCTAGAACTATCTTTAGGTCATGGTTATACTTGAAATTATCAGTCAAGAAAAAAAAAACACATTTCCGTGTATAACTCTAGCAACTAATAAAGTAATCTCAATGTTTGCAATTTTTCAGAACACATCAGGTTAGTTTAATCACCAATATGAAATAACCATGCCTTCTGTGAAAAATCCAATATTAACAAAACATAATTAAAACCACAATACCTCTTAGTGATACTGTGAAAACATTCCTAATGTTTAAGGTTAATACATATGATAGATTAATATATGACTTATTTAACATAAACCATGATATTGTAACCAAAGTCCTCATTAATCTTATATTATTATTTTTTTAAATTTCAGTGCTTGAACTGAGCAGCTAAGCCCTGCTCTTACATTACCTCTGTAACATGTAATGGAAACTTCAACAAATTTTACATATACTACAATTTCATCTCCTGTCTGTTATAACCTTAGTAAAGCAATATATACAGACTGAAAAAATATGTAATTACGTATAAATAACATGGTTTATGTAAAGTTGAGTCATCTTTCCATTAAAAAAAATGACTTCACTTCATCAAATCTCAAATCGCTTCAGCCTGATGTTGCAATTTAAAAATGTGATAACCAATTTTTATTGTAACAAATGGCAACTCATCATCAAGTGAGCCAGTCGACATCATAGACCCTTTTTTTAATATTAGCAAGTTAAAAGGAAAATTGACATAGAATGCATAATTGTGTAATGATAAATAATGTCTGTAGACTTTGCAAATGAATATTTGGCTGCTATGGGTCTCAGTTTTGCTTTCATCAGAACTCTCAGGAATTTGCATTTCTAAAAAGGGATTAGACTGCTTTATAGTAAGATCCATTTGCTTTAAAAATCATAATTTTCAGAACAAAAGAATATTTTATTCAAGTTCTCCAAAGATCATTTTGACGGATACATTTTACTACAGTTGCCTTTTCAAGTTTATAGGGATTCAATGTATACTGTAATTAGTTTCTTTATTACAGACCGCCTCTCAAATTACACATTTCAGCATAATGGAAATCCATTTAATTAACTGTACTCCTGATGATCATGAAGACCCCTGAGTCATTACACTCACCTCTAGTGGAGGCTAAATTTTAAGGAAAATTTATTTTGCTTTCAGAATTTATGAAATGAAAAGAGAAAGCACTGTAGATGTGATTTTAAATAGAGCTAGACACTTACTTGAGAAAATAACTTGTCTTACAAAAGTTCTTCTACTATGACAACAGACAACTAAAGAAGAAAAAACATGGGAAAATAAACCAAACCCTCACTTACCAGGTGTGAAATTGTATCGAGCTGAAAATCCCATAGATTCCAGCTCTCCATCAGCAAAAAATTTAATCCATAGAAATCTTCCACTGGATTTTATTACAGGTGGATTTTGTTGTCCACAAAAACGTCCAATTATTGGAGAAAATCCAAAAGGTCCATCCCGAACTTCAATGTGATCAAATTTGCACTCCCAAGACGGTTCAATAGAGTACTTTTCATCAAAGTAAAGTTCAATGCACTGTCTTGGGGCAGCTGGAAAAAAGGAAAGACTATGTCTAGAAGGCCGTTTTTCAATCTTTAGGTAGATATTTGTAATTCTACTTCAGGTTGTACCTGTACATCTATCAAACTTTGAGCACGACGTGAGTAGAAGAGCAAAGCAAGTCTATAATACAGAGCATTCTAAGGGATAACATTTCCACAAGAATGTCTCGGGGTGCTCCTTAAAACTGGTGATGTTGCACAAAAGATTATTTAGATATAAAATGACTGTTTCAATGTCTAACACAGGTACCTCATAAATCACAGAATTTTTTGTGAAAGACCACTAACGTCAGGTTTAGAAAGTAGAAAGACATCTTTCTGTCACTTTGCTCGTATCTTCTTAGGTGTCCAGTTTTAAGGTCAAAAGCCACTTACGAGTTGTTAAGCATAGAGTTACTCAAACATTCGAAAACTCCCAGTCAGATGTCTTCATTAGACCCAAGTGTATATACAAGGGTATTAAGAAGAATTTTTCTAGTACACAAATCTCACCACATCATCCTCAGGTTTAAACTTAGCAACTCTCAATCAGCTACAGGAAAGTGACTGATGCACTGGACACTGCAGGACCCTTGAGGGTCTCCTACTACTCAGACTTCCAGGGTCTACCTACTCCAAACACAGCCCAAGCTCTGGCCACTGCAGAAACACTGTTTTCTAATGCAGCGTGCTCTTTTGGGCTCTCATGTATTTTAGCACTTTCTGGAGTATCTACCTCCAATTTGCTGACTCCTGTTTATGCAGGAAAACCTTGTTTATAAGAACCACCCGTCTGAATCTACTCACTAAGGAAAAATGTATTCACCTTCTTAATTCAGCACTCAGCACAGTACTTGTCATTGAGGATTTCTCAAAAAAAAAAAAAAATAAAGAAAAGAAAAGAAAAAATTAAAAAATCTCTTTTGGGTGAATAGTAAATGAGGTTATCATAAATGTGTTTTAGAGCTCCGTACAGCATCAGGAAGAGCCTCAGAGGGCTCGCAGCTCTACAGACCTCCACATTGGATGCACTTACTAAAGCCCTGCCGTTTCTCCCTTGTCCTGTCCAAAACAGCTCAAAATCCTGGCACTCCTGACTGGTATTCAGCCAGGATACCCCAGAATAGCCATAACAGTTGTCAAAATATCCGTACACATTTATCCTAGTTAGTAAACAGCTGTTGCCTTGAGTCCTTTGAGTGCTCTCCTGCCGTGCGGCCCTCCTCAGGGACCAACACCCTCCAGAAACTTGTAAGTTATGACCCGGTACAGCACGGCCTGCTCCCCATGTGGTCAGTAATCATTCTGAATTACTGCTGTCCACACCACACCAATTCTTAAATGTGTATTGAATATCACCCTTGGTGGCTTTAAAACAAAAGCCTTGGATGTCAAAAATTTAGAGGGAATTGAGATACATGATGAATTGGAAATTAGAGACATACAGAATAATCGAAGCTCATTTGGTTAAAGGTCAATGCATGTGACAAGCCTATTTTAGGGAATATTTTTAATCTCTGAAAATGTTTGTAACTCTTTGGACATTGTAAAAGAAACATTTATTACTCTTCAAGAAAAACCAGGGATGGTTTTACCTACCACTATGGTATAGTCACAAAGGTCAACAACTGTAGTATTAGCATATTGATAGATTTGATGAAGTTTCAATAATTTTTTTAAAAATATCTGAAAATTAGAGGGGCGCCTGGGTGGCTCAGTGGTTTAAGCCGCTGCCTTCGGCTCAGGTCATGATCTCAGGGTCCTGGGATCAAGTCCCACATCGGGCTCTCTGCTCAGCAGGGAGCCTGCTTCCCTCCCTCTCTCTGCCTGTCTCTCTGTCTACTTGTGATCTCTCTCTGTCAAATAAATAAATAAAATCTTTAAAAAAAAATAAATAAAATAAAAATATCTGAAAATTAGAAAGTATCCTAAGAAATTACTTGGAAAACCATGTTTCCCCCCCACCTTGAGATTATTTGTTCAGCAACAAAAAGGCAAAGGCTCAAGAAACTGGATCTACTGATGTAGTAGAATTCAGTATATCATTTGTAGGCATTAGTATTTTATAGCCTGTGCCTATTTATCTGCTCATTGGCAAGCCAGTATGATAAGTTTTATAAGGAAATAAGTTATTTGAGAATGTAGGATATTTCTTTCAGATGTAAATAACATATGCCTAGGGAACAATAAAGCATTGAGAACAACTGTGCTAATTTACTTAAAACTCAGGAAGCAGCATCCATCCATCTATTTTTCCCTATTAGGAAAGGCACGGCCATCGAACATGGACTCATGTACGCATACCTTCATTTTCACTGTTGCTTAAGTTCTGCCCAATGTAAAACAAACCTCCCAATGTTCCTTTACAACACATACTATCACTGTGGCCTTTGGGGGGGCCACACTTACGGGGACAGCTCATCTTCTTTTGGTCAGCATGTTGAAGTTAATGACACACACTCACATACAAAATTCCACTAACTGAATTTTCAAAGGCAATAAAATAGGGTTTTATAAGTGAGCATGTCATGTGGTTGTTTTAATTCAAAACAAGTGATTATAGTACCTGGACGGCATTGGAAGCTCTCAAGGTTCAGCTCCTTACACTTAACGTTTTCCTTCCCTTTGAATCTCTCAATTCACAGCTGCCTTTCACGTCCACATTTTCTCTAAGTCATCTGGTATCTGATCCTAACGTTCCTTCATGAGAGGTCTTACCCTCCTAACCTGTCCATGGGTACACTAAAGACCTGAGTACTTTCACCTGAAAACTGCACATAGCTACAGAACATTGCCCCCTCTTCGAGGGAGTTTTAGGACAACCTGAAACCACGAAAGGGATCTTCCTTTCTGTGACCTCCACTGTTCATCAGAACCTGTTCTACCTCAAGAAACTTGACCAATGATTTAGAACATTCTTAGATTTTATATTCACCTTTTTCTACAGAAGAGGCTACTCTTTTCAGAATTAAACATGACAATTTGCCCCCCTGAAAGCAGAAAAGACAAAAAGACAAAGAAAGTAACTGCCTTCCTACAGTGGGTCCATCAACACCCACCCCCCAGACCTCCCCCCCCCTGTGAGTCAGTTCCCACCGCCACTGGGGCAATGAGTGCACACGTCCTAAAGTTACTATCAGCTTCTCAGTGGCCTCATGCAATAGATGTGTTTGCTGTTACCTTACTTGTCTTTGCTGTAATAGTTGGCATTTTGGCTACTCCCTTCCTGCTGAAATGCCACCTCCATTATGTGCTAGGGCATCTTTTACCTGATCTCTAGTCCCCCTCTGTGGTTCGTCCTTCACAGTCCCTGTTACCTTCTCCTTACTCTCCCATCCCTTACCTGTTGTTTTGCAGAAACCCATTTTATGTCTTCTTTCCACTATTTCTAGACCAGAGTTCTGGGTACCACTGGCATCCCAATGGATGTATATATTACAATATAATGATGCCTGCAGCTCCATCAAAGACAAATTAAACCAGACTTCTTGGGGACAGACCCAGGGATCTGTATTTTTTGAAAGATTTATAAAATAGTGCTCCAAATACTCTCTCTGGATAATTTTATTCATACCAAGAGCCTCAACAACAATTCATATTTATAACCTATAAATATCTATTTTCAGCCCAGAGCTCTCCAGTGAGCTAAAGACTCACATATCCAATTTCTTTACGCGACATCTCTATAAACACCAAAGCAGAATTCATTATTTTTCCTTTAAACCCTATTTCTCCACCCATATTCTTTACCTGGCATGGAAATTCCATCTATAGGGGCGTCTTGGTGGCTCAGTGGGTTAAAGTTCTGCCTTCGGCTCGGGTCATGATCCCAGGGTCCTGGGATCGAGTCCCACGTGGGGCTCTCCGCTCAGCGAGGAAAAGCCTGCTTCCCCCTCTCTCTGCCTGCCTCTCTGCCTACTTGTAATCTCTGTCTGTCAAATAAATAAATAAAATCTTTAAAAAAAAAAAAAAGAAATTCCATCTATATGTCACCAAGAATCATGTCGGGATTTCCTATCTCTCCTGCCTACATCCAGGCACTTGTGACTCAGTTTCCTAAAGACCTCTTATCTCTCCCTTTGACCCACAGCCAATGTTATTTGTGCTGTTCAGGCTCTTACTATACTAGATCTTACTCTTAAGAGCTATGGCTTATGTGGTCCGTCACAGTAGTCTCTGCTTACTACTTTTCCTTCTGTCACCTCACCAAAATATCAGCTTATTATTTTTCCACTTAAATTACTTCAGTGGCACCCCATTGTCTATGATACCAAGTTCAAACTTTCACAGCTGGGCCAGACAGAATGCCAGTTCTCCTTTATCTGAGATGGTCGACCTCTTGAACTTCCTTGCTTCTCCCTCTCCTCACACCATGAAGAAGCTACACCTGGGTCCTGATCACACCATATCTTGAGCTTTTGCACGGGCCATTCTGAATAGAGAATTACCTCCCTGAAGTTTTTCAAAACTGAGTGAAAGCATCTCCTTCTTCTCGTAGGCTCCTCTCCTCTCTGCTTCAAACACTGCTAATTTGGGGGTCCCTTTAGACTGTTTACTGAATGGGGCATAGTCCCCAGACCACATTTTAAGTTCCATAGGCAAGTACCCCGGTTGTTTTATTAAAGGCTCTCTAAACTGTACCTAGAAGAGTGTCTATTCCTTAGTAATTATTCAATAAATATTGGTTAAATAAATGTATGGAAGAAAATAATGGCTAGTATGAAGTATTTCAAAAACAGTGCAGAAGTATGATTAATAGTAACAGGAAGTTCTACTGACATCTCAATTTTATGTTTAGTCCTTGACATAACTAGGAATGAATGTAGATATGTGCATGATGTGAGAATAAAATGCTAGTGATGCTTTTCAATTCTAAATAACAATAAACATGGAAGCACAATTAATATACAAAGATCTGCTTCTGAATTAATCCTTCAAATGAGAGAACTAATTGATTTTATTCTTTTTAATAATTCTAAGTTTAAAAATACTGTTGCTTCAAAACACAAATCATGTGAATTTAAGCAAGACATTTAACCTCCCTGTGTCTGTTTCCTTGTCATAAAATGAGGAAAACAAAAAGTACCTACCACCTATGTTTAAACGTTTTAATATATGTTAAGACACAGATATACATATAACAGATAGGTAACATTAACTTGGTGAAGAGAACAACTAAGTTTAACCCAGAATTTCCATATTTCAATTTCTTTTTCTATCAATCACATGAGCAATAAAACTGCAGAGCTCAGATTTCTGTTTTCTCTTTTTATTATCAGAGCTTATGCTTTTTTTCCTCCTTCTTATAGTGCAGTATATATTTGCTAAAAGTTCACCCTCAAACACAGAAAGGAGAGAAGTAATATCCTTAGCTTAAAAGTTATAAAAAGAAAAAAAGAATCATTGCTAAACAGGAATTCTTGAAATCAGTTAAACAGAAAGCCTTTTCCTTTCAAATGAACATGCCCCTCATTTATATATAAACACTGAGTATACACTGTCTTTTTCATTAAGATGGCCCAATCTGTCTATGTGTGTGGGGTATGGAAAAGGGTTGCAGGTTTGGGGCTTTTAGGTATTAACACTTATAATATTGAAATCTTCATCAGTAGATGAAATAATCATTCATTTTAGAAAGCTGTTACTTAATCGAGTGCTATCTACAAGGGTAATGGAAATTGGAAACGTTCAAAGGGAAATGAATCTCTCAGAACTATTTATCTTTTGAGTTAGGAAAGAAAATGATGAAAAGAAGCATCATAATTTGGAATTCTGACTTTGGCATTAAAGGATGATAATGCCACTTGTTAACATAAATTAAGGCAACTATCATTCAGACTATTTGGAAACATGATTATAGATTGATTTTTGACATTAATATCTATTTTTGTACTTTATATTATTAAAGAAAAGTAACAAATGTATAGGCTTTTCTACTAACTGGTAACCAATAAAATACTAGTTTCTAAAATTGTTATACATTAGGTAATATTATCCCAGCTATGCGTCCATTCCAATTCATTAAGAATTCTAAATCAATTGTTAACTGCAAAATAAACTGTTTGCTTTTATTTGTCAGAATTTACTTACTCAAAACCCATTGCAAATAATTTTAGTAATTAGTTTGATCCCAAATTTTAGTTATTTGATTCACTAAGAGATATTTCTGTGTATGGTCTCTAAAACCAATTTTTTAATATATACGCATATTGTCCATCAAAATCATAGTGATGGCCAGGTTTGGCTTGGAGCTCCCTCCAGCCCTGGCCGTCTGGCCCCTACCTTCTATGATGTAGACGCACTCTCTGTCAGGAGGGTACTTGCCGGGGTAGTTGGGAGACGTAAAGATACCTCCCTCTGCATGCTTTGTCCAAGTTCCACACTGCACTGACTTCTGAGTTTCCGAGGTGGCTTGCTTTTCTGTAAAAAAATAAAAACAAGTGCCATCATCCAATTTTCTATAAGACTAAAAATAGAGAGGACATTCTTATCATATCCATTAGTAAATTAATTTTGAAATGTCGTCTTAGTCAAAATCAATCAATTATACACACTATAAAAGGTTCAGATATTCTGGAATATTAAGAATATGGGGAAAATAGGAAAATGTAAATAATTAGAGGTCTTCCACTGCATTTTCCCAAAGAAACACACCTGTTCCTTTCTTGGCTGCCCCAGACAAATGGAAGATGGTTAAACTTGCTACAACTGAAACAGAAAAGAAAAAGTAGAAAGAGATCATATTAATATACACTGAAATGATCACATTCTGTAACAACATAAAGATAAGATAATATCAAAGCGGATTCACTGTATTATTGTTAACTGTTCCATTCACTCAGAATGTGCCCAAACTGGTTAAAAATGTACAAATCAGGAAAATTTAGAAATCCCTTCAGGAAGTAACGCAAGTTAAGGATGAACGATTCCCAAAAGCTGCAAATGTGAACCTCAAGACTTCAGAGGCAATGCTGTCATTTACTCAAGCACATTCCAGTAAGATTTCAGGACCTGTATTGTTTCCAACTGCCCACAGGAAATGGCTTTGCTAGCAAAGAAGAGGAAGAGTGAACCAAGTGAAAGGCGGAAAAGGCAACTAGTGAGGTAGGGCTCTGTGACTGACCCCAAGGCACTGCCAGTGTTGATGTATTTGAGAAAATAAGTACTAGGGCAAATCTTAGGGCAGGTGGGGGAGGGGAACAGGAGAAACACAGATAAATGTGGATTGACGGCATTAAGCAGTTTTACAAAAACGTTTCTTATAAAAAAATACTATACCACCGAGTAACCCCTGTCCTCACCACTTCCTAAGCTATGCAGTTAATTTCTTCTAATCTTAACTTTGACTTAATATTCAGTATTATCCAGAAATGAGTATTTTACTGAGCCAGTTTTTCAGTATCAAAAAAAAGACCCCGATCTCTAACAAGAGTGAATCCGCAAAGACCATTGCAACCCAAACTTCTGCTTGACTTTTGTACCTTGATTTACACACCATGTTTATAGAACCTGAAACTAGAAGAGTAATGAAACAATCTAGTCTTCATAATTACTGGTTTTTCCTCTTCTACTTTATCTCTGTTATTTATTTTGTTGCCTATTCCCTAAAAGCTCTAACTTCTATTGGGTATATAATCATATTTCCACTTAAAATTAACTTGGGAAAGGGAAGGTATAATTTGCGATGATTTCCTCAACCGAAGCTCATGGCAGGAGCTTATAGATTTATGCTTTTAGGTTATTCCAGGAAGAAAACGTGGGCTTTTATACTGGCATTTGAGAGAGTGTACCAGTTATATTACTTCCTAATCCTGCCTGATCATTCGCTTAGATTAAAACATTAACTGTTGTCGTCTGTGTCTAAACAGAAAAAAGAAATCTTATTTTAATTTGCCGGGTTTCTAGACACACACAAACACACAGGTACACGGCCATCAATACCAGGACGTACTCGCGGTGTTGTCTTTACTCTGCTTTTCCTGTTCTGATGGAATCACACGGTGGAGCAAGTACTATGACTAACACATCCACAAAGCCGGTCTTTTAACTGCGTGGCACAGGATTAACAGTGGAATCCTAGCCTTTTAATGTGGAATTTCCACCACACATTCTCTTACACTGCCTTTTACTTGATGACTTCTGAAGCCATTTTCCTCTCAATCGCATGCGCTCCCGCACACCCATAACGCAACACTAAAGGTCTTCGGGCCACAGAGTTGAGGTTGGCCCGCGCCCTCCTCACAAGCGTTGCGTTCAGGTGCACCCTAAACTCCCTCCTGGAGGGAAAATAGGAGCCCGCAGAACCCCCCCGAAAAGGGCCATTCCCTGCAGCCCACAGACTGCCGGCCCCGCGCTCTCCTCCTTTCCACCTGCGCCCTCACCGGGCCCACTCCCGGGCGCTCCCGCACGTGCTCGCCTCCGCCCCCAGGACGTCCCTGCAGACGGAAAGGATGCTGTCCCCCGCGGCTTCTGAGCCCCAGCGACCACGGACCGGGCGCCGCCCCCACGCCTCGACTGATTATGCTGCAGCCCAGAAAGTTTACAGGTGCCCGGACTCGCTGGGACTGCGGGGTCCGGTTGGAGCGCGGCGGCTAGGCTTTCCCCTGCGCGTTCGGCCACGAGGGAGGAGGGAGGGAGGAGGGACCGCAAGTGGACCCGCGCGGCGGGAAAGGTACTCACTGTGAAACAAACTGCGTCCATAGATCATGTCTGTTCGTTACACCAGAGGCTCCGATCTCCACTAATTCCATTTAGAGCCGGGAAGACTTCCAGTGGTGGGGAGAGGACGGAGTCGGGGGGTTTAAATGTGCAAACCAAGAACCAAATGTAGGGGGGAGATAGCGGGAGGAAAGAGCAATCCGAGCCCACACAGCAGCAAGATCCGAATTCTGGCGTCCTCCGCCCCTGGCTCGCGCTCGCTCGCGCTCGCTCTCTCACCGCCGCGAAGCCAGCATCCCCACCATGACGCTCGCATCACACCCGGGCGCCGATCGCCACCATCAGCACCGCCGGCGGCAGCACCCTCCTCCTTTGCATCATCGCCGCCGCCGCAGCTGTCAGGAGGACGCGCGGGCAGTCTGCGCGCGGGCGGCGGCGGGCGCGGGGCGAGCCCCGGGGCGCCCGGACCCGGGCCGGGGCCGGGGCTGGCGGCGGTCGCAGCGAGGCGGGGGCCAGTCCAGACCGACGGCAGCGACGGGGCGGGCGGGCGGCGGCGGCGGCGGCGGCGGCGGCTGGGGCTCGCTCAGTCCCCAGTTTCGTACACCACGAGCAGCAGGTCGGAGCAGCCTCTCCGGGAGGATGTCCAGCGGCAGCCCTCCTCTCTCCAGCCCTTGGGGATCTTCCGTTGAGGCATTGAAGACAGGAGGAAGGGGTCCGTCATCGGCTCGCCGGGCTCCGCGCCACCTCTGCGATCTTGCGGAAAGAGGAGCGGGTGGGTGGGCGTCTGGGAGGAGGGCGTGAGGGTGGCGGAGGGAAACGGGGGTGGCCAAGGGGGCGGGGAAGGGAGGGAGGAGGAAGGAGCAGGAAGATGGCAGAGTTACCAAGTGGGCGCCTGAGTCATAGCCGTGGGCTGCGCGACCCTCCAGGAAGCCCGGAGCCGGGGCGAAATCGGGCAGCGCGGCGCGGCCGGCGCCCCCGGGGCTGGTGCGCGGCGGATTGGGGCGGCGGCGGCGGCTGCAAGGACATCACACCCGCTCGGATCCCGGGGGGGGGGGGGGGGGGGGGGGGGGGGGGGGGCGCGGGGGGGGGGGGGGGGGCGGGGGGGGGGGGGGGGGGGGGGGAGGGGGGGAGGACCAGGCTGGGATCTGTCACTCGGCCAGCCCGGGCTGAGGGGACCCGAAGGGAGCAAGCAAATCCGGAGCTGGACCCAGATGCCCGATAAAAGGCGAGCAAGGGAGAGGGTCCATCGCGTGAAAATTCCCTTCGGGGTTCAGTGTTCACTTTTCACGGGTTAGAGATTGCGGTCGACGTGTCTCCCTCCCCTTATACTGCATCTGTCTAGAGGAAGCGGTTTGTCTCTCTCATCGGGGCTTGTGGGGGGAGGTTTGCCGTTTACTGCGCTCTCGGGCTGGGAGACCAGGCAGGGGCGCGCGGGAGGGAGAGGCAGCGGCAAAAGTTTCGCGGTTAATCGCCCGGCCTGATGCGGAGGTCGCCCCCACCAAAGTGCTTCTGCGAACACTCCTTCATCCTCGCTCAGATATTTAAAAGCCCCAGGGCAAACACAGAACACCTCCCGCCCCACCTCGACACGCGCCGACACGCGCGGGCGCAGCGCGTTGAACTCAGGAGGGGGCGGGGGGAGAGTTGCTGGGAAACGGCCCGGAAAAGCCCCGCTG